GTTCAAACCCATGTTGTTCAAGGGTCACCTGTATGCTCAAATCTCCTCATCTTAAAGAAATCTTTTTCTCACCTGTTTCTGCCTCCCAGACTAGCATATTTTTCTTTCTACATGATCAAGAGCATCCTGCACATATTGTCTTTGCTTCATTCCAATTAGTCTGACTTTTACTCCCACCATGCTATATAAATTTTTTTCAAAAGGTTTGCAGTTTTTTGCTAATTTTCAGATCCATTGGCCAGTTTTAGCCATTACCCTGTTTGCCTTCACTGCAGTAATTAATTATTGACCAGTCTTAAAATATTTTCACTTCATGGTTTTCTGACAACCTCTTTTTGTTTTCTTTTACAACTCCGATCAATTCTCATTGTCTTTCCTTTGCCTATTCCCTATAGATGTTTAATCCTCAAGATCCTTTACTTGAATGTCTTCCATGGTTTGGTGTGCTTCTCCTGGTCTCTCTCATCTTCCCCAGTTTTTAATCTCACTTATATGCAAATGACTTCTAGCTCCCACTTTTTTTATGGGTTTGACTTTCTATTGAACACTTCTGTCTGGATTGCCCAGTGGCACCTCAAATCTAAAACAAAACTTATCAAAATCACCAAATTTGGTTGTCCTCTTTTAGTCTTCTTATATATATTTTTAATGACATCCTTACCCACTCTGTCTACCAAGCTGGGAATCAAGAGCAGTACTCATTTCTTCTTTCCACCATTTTTTTTCCCACATCTAAGTAGTACTAAAGTCTTTTAATTCTCGCTCCTAAAAGGCTCACTATTGTATCCTCGCTGCTGTTGCCTTAATTCAAGCCCTTGTTGTCTCTTGCTTAAACTGTTGCTGCTAAACTTTCCCAGTGTTCAGTCTCTATCCTCCTCCACCTCTACTGTTCTAAAATGATCTTTCCAAAACCATCTTTCATAGTACTTTGATTTAAAAAATATATACACACACACACACACACACACACACACACACACACACACAGACTCACACATATACACATATGGTTGCCGCCGGCCTTTGGAAAATATTCCAGTTCCTTAGCATGGCATGACAAGCATGTCCTCATTGACCTTACATTCTGCCTCATCCATATAATTCTTTGCAATACCCTTAGATTCTTCTTTGGCATCTCCATGCCCTGTAACCTTACCTATTCTTCCAATGCTTAAATGCCCATCTGCTACACTTCCTGCCCAACTGATTCATTCAACAAACATTTATGTGCCTTTTGGGAGCCTTCGTGGACTCATAATCATCATTTAAAACCCAACTCAGATTTCACCATTTCTTGAAGCCATTTTGGATTTCCCCACAGAACATATAACATATTGTAGTAAAGTATGCTTTTTTTCTTTAGATAGCTTTGAAATTGATATTTATGTAGGACTCTTTACATCATAAAAATATTATTGTGAAGGATTAACTGAGTGAAGAAAGAAACATGGTGTCTAGAACCAAAAAGACAAGTTTTTGAAAGAGGTAAGGAATACTTCCAATGAATAGGCTAAAGTCAAAAGGAAGCGACTTAGAGTTGCTAATGCTAAAAAGTGGCAGAAGTATGGGTTTCTGCTCATGTCTTCTCCTCCTGTCTTCCTCGGGATGACTGTCACATGTTATCATTAGCATCTCCTGAGTAATTGTTTCCTACTGATTGGCTTTCTGCCATATGAGTTTAACCTAAATCTCTTTTTTTAGTTATCTTCAGTATAATCTATATTTTCCCCCAAATTAGCAGCTCTTCATATAATCAGAAAGAATTTCTTCTAAGTGTGGTGGCTCCCAAAAAGCCCCATGTGTCCCCACTCTACCCGTTCTTCACACATACTGTTTTAACTTTGGTATGTTTTTTCTTTTCCAATTCTAATAATATTTTTCTGTGCAGTAATCTAGTCTTTACAAATTTGTGTTTCCTTCTTATTTGCTGTCTATAATGAGCCTGATTTTTTTTCCAAATCCATTAATACTTTTGTTTTGATCTTGGATTCTACCATAGATTGGGTGACTAAAGCCACCATTGATACTAGTTCCATTTTTACATAAAAAGCTTAATTTTTATTTTAAAATGTTAGGTCTATTTTAATTGAGCTGTTTTAAAAATACAGTTGCTTCATTTGTGTCTATTATATAATATTTCAAATGATGGTAAGATTTATTAGTGAGTAACTGAAGTTTTTAAATTTTTTATTTTTTAAAGATATTTTTATTGAGGAATTGGGAGATGGGGAACAGACAAGTTGCTGTNCGTCCCAAGCCAGTTCTTAATCAACGCGCCATTCGGCCGGCCCTAGCCTTACTTCTTAAATCTTAAAAAACAGAAGAATAATCTGTCTTTGAATTTTGATTGTTGATTATGATATGTCTAGTGGAATTTTATTTAGATTGTAGAATGTGCAGATTAATGTTTTTCACAAATTTGGGAAGTTTTTTGTCTTTATTTCTTTAGAAGTTTTTTCTACCCCTTTCAATTTTTTGTTCGAGGACTCGCATCATTTCTATGTTGGCACATTTGATGGTGTCCCACAGGTCTCTTCAATTTTATTAGTTTTTCTTCATTCTTTTCCTTGCTGTTCCTTAGACTGCATAATCTCAATTGACCTGTCTTCAAGTCTTGATGCTTCTGCCAGTTCGGATCTGCTGTCAAGCCCTTTTTAGTGACTCGTTTATCTCAGTTATTGTACTTTGCAGCTTTAGAATTTGTATTTGGTCTTTTTTATTTATAATATCTGTCTCTTTATTAATGAGAAAAATCTCACACCCTCGTTCTTTAGACACAGTTTTCTTTAGATCTTTGAACATATTTATAAAAGCGAATTTAAAGTCTTTCTTTGTTAGACCAATGTTAGGATTCTTCATGGACAGTTTCTATTGACTGCTTTTATTCCCTGTGTATGGTTATCCTTACTATTTTTCAACATTTCCATAAGTATATGTTGAAAACTGGGTATAGTAACTATTAAAATGTGGCAGCCCTGGAAATGAGCTCCCTCTCCTTCTCCCCACTGTACTAACACACCCGGGGTACGTTGTTTCTGTTTGTTTAGTGACGTCCTTGGACTTACTCTGTACTCTTTTTCCTTTGTCACGTGTTGCCACTGAAGCCTCCTCTCGGTCAGCTTAGTGGTCAGCCAATGGTTAGAGAAAGATTTTTCTAAATGCTTTGAGTGAATGGGCCTCCCTTTGAGGAGGGTCTCTGTATGCATGTATATTGGGATGCACTTCTCATGCTTCAGCCTTAGCCTTCACATCCTGTTTGCACAGAGCTTCCACAGGGCAGCCAGGGTGAGAGACTGGACCTTTCAGGTCTTGCTCGGCATGCACACAGCCTTTCAGGAGCATAGGTCCTTCATTCCCAGGAGTATGTTGGAGTTTTTCAAAGTCCTCTGGACATCTCATTCCCAGTTTTTTCCTTTTAAACTTATTGGTCTGCCTCTCTTAGCCACAGTTGGTTTCACTGACTCAGACAGCTATGCCATTGATTATTTTGACATGCACCCTAGGGTTAGGACTGTTCACACAGAGCAGGCTCAGAGCGAGGTCAGATAAAGTCAAGCCCTGAAAACAGAGCTTTCCACGGAACTCCCGGAACGTCTAATAGTGATAAGTCTCAGGGATGGGGCTTCTAGGGAGCTTCAGATCTCGTCTGCCCCATTCCATTGTCTACTAGGCTAGGCAAAGCTGTTGGTTTTTCAGGCTACTTTGGAGCTTGGGGGAGGGGAATGGGAGGGAACAAGCAAGTTAAAGTACCACAAAGCTTAGTGTTCTTACTGAGATTCAGCTTTTCCTTGAATAAATCTTCCTCAGGTTGTTGCAAGCCTTTGTTTAATTTCAGAGTTCTGGAAAAGTTAATTTTAACAGGGCCGGCCAAGTGGCGCGTTTGTTAAAAACTGGCTTGGGATGCCAGAGGGCCCCGGTTCGGATCCCACATATAAGGGCCAGTGACACTGCCCTCTACAGCTAAGATGCTGAACAACCGCTCAACCTGGAGCTGGGCTGCTGTGGGTCGCTGGTGACGGCGTAGGCTGCAGTCCCCTGCTGCAGTGGGTTGCCATAAGCTACCATGTGTAGCCGGCAGCCAGCGTGAGCGGCCGTCCAGAGGCCGGTGACTGATCTGCCTCACCCGGGAATAGCGCAATGATGCCAGTTTGGGCCAGTGAAGCAACATCCTCCACAACTAAACTGAAGAACAAAACAACAGCAACTTATCTGTTCCCCCTCCCCCAATTCCCCAATAAAATATCTTAAACAACAACAACAAAAAAGTTAATTTTAACAGTTTTTGCCGGTGTTCTCACTGCTTTTATGGGGGAGCAAATTTTCCGAGGTCCTTGTTTTGCTATGCCAGAAGTACTTGTGTACTGCTCAGTAGTTTAAAGGGCAATTGGTGTGACCACTAGGTGGAAGTAGAGACTTGAAAAGTTTGTTGTTCTGTTAAGTCATTAGCTTAGATGATTTTATTGTATACATTAACATAGCCATGCTATACTACCTTGTTTGTTAGATTGATTCTCTGTCAATTCCCTTACTATATCTATAATTTTAGCATTAGAATTTGTTTCTGACAATAGTGTAATTTAAATTTCTTATTATTTCAAATAATTAAAATTTTGGTTGAAATTTAATTAATTTTCAGGTAAAATAATACCTTATTCTTGAAAGCCCAAATTATAGAATCTTTGATGTGAATTGCAATTTAAATGTTATTTATTATTTGATTAATTAATTGGTTATCAAAGATTATTAGGAAAAGTGCTTTGAATAGATGAGAATAATTGTTAATTGTAGCATATTATAAAATTTTGTGTAAATTCTTGTGTCTAAAGCAAGTAAAAATTTTTTTAAGTGTATTTTGAAATTTTTTGTACTGAAAATATCATTGGTGATTTTCTTATGAACACTGTTTACCTTATGTACAAATTATAAATCATGAATTTGTATATTACTGTATTAAAGATCCTCAGTCTGGAAACTTACCGATTTTTGAATATTTTCATTAGTATACGAAATACCTTCTGGACGTTTCATGAGACAATTGTATGGCCACCTCAATATCATTTATGATATTTGCTGGTCAAAAGATGATCGCTATATCCTTACTGCATCATCTGATGGCACTGCCAGGTTAGTATACTTGACAAGTACTTACTGTGTCTGATGTTTGCCATCGAGAAAAACAAAGAATGGTATAAAGTGACTAAACTACTCTTATGCTTCAGTTATGTTTTGCTTATCAAGGGACTGACACAAATATGTGTCATACCAGGACTGACTGAACAAGTAGTAGTGAAAACTTTTCTTGAAGACATTTTTGTTAAATGTATTTTATTTATGCAATATATAATATTTCTAGTTCTCACTGCCTTTAAATGATAATTATGCATATTGTTCAATTAATTCTTTCAGATAAGATATTGAAACAACTCAGATTTTCAGAGAATATAAGCTCTTGATGGCAGGGATTCTGCCTTCACTGTTAGCTGGCTGCAGAGGCCAGGACACAGTGATGCTTAGTTCATAGTATGGAGTAAATAAATGAATATGCACCTTATGTTTGAAGAGCTTTATAGGTTCTCAAATATTTGCATTTTTCAGAATGTCAGTCTTAAAATTACCCCTTCCTATTTAATAAGTGCCACAATAAAATATTGTAAAAGCTACTTTTTAAAGTTTCATTTAAGTTTTTTTGTAACTACTTGTTCTCCCTTGGATGTATTCTAACAATATTATTAGCAGTTGTTCAAGATGCTTTTATAAATGGTATTTAACTTCAACAAATATAGGTATATACACATAAGTATTTATTATCTCTACAGANATGAGGAATTTTAGGTCAATGTGGTCAGTTGATAGCAGTAATAATTTGAATTATGAAAGCGCTCAAATTTGTTATGCACTAGAACAATTATAATTGTCTTTGTAGTACCTAGATGAAGACTTCTCATTATGATAGACAAGTCAGCAGAGGCCAAAAAGCCTCTCTCAAATTGCCTTTAAATAATATAGGAAACTCTGTTAAAAAGAAAAATTATTTCTGTATCTTTAGAGATTTTTTTTCCTATAAAAGAGCATTATCATAGTCCTCTAGACTTAGAGACATTAATCCTTTCCCTTGCTTCTTGTTTAATAATGAAAACCAGCTCACCTCAGCAGGAAGTAGCCACCAGCTCCTCCTGGGCATCTGCCCTAAGCGCTAGATCCTGTTCAGTTTTCCTCAGCTCCACACAGTTACCTTTGCTGATTTGCTTTTTTCGAGAGGGACTTATAATTGGCTTGATTAGCATTTATTAAATAAATATTTCTCCTCATGAAGAATGTTAGGTTTAAGAAATACAAAATTATTTGTGTGGTTTGATTACAACCATGCTATTTTAAAAATTCACTGAAACCTATGCACAGGGAAAAAAGATTCTTAGGAAACATACTCCAGAAGATAAATAGTGATTTCATTCTCTTGGCCAGTGAAAGAATTAGTTTCATTCTGATTTATATGTTTTCAACATTTCTGTGATAAATATGTTACTTTATGCTTAAATCTTGTTCAAAATGTTATATAAATTTAGCCTTACACTTTTTTTTTTTNGGCTATTGGACAGCTGCTCAAGATGGCTCGTGGCAGCTCACGCCGTCACTGGTGACTCACGGCAGCCCAGCTCCAGCTGTTGTTCACCATCTTAGCTGTAGAGGGCGCAGCATCACTGGCCCTCATGTGAGATCCGAAGCGGTGCCCTGCTGCTCAGAGCTGGCGTCCCAAGCCAACTCTTAACCAATGCACCACTTGGCCAGCCCGCTTCTTTAATTTTTTTGAGCCCTAATTTACACTACGACTTTCAGTGATCCATTACTGAAATTTATGCTAAAATAAAATACATGTTATATTACATTACCCTCTGTAAATAATAACTAATATTTTCTGCTATTCATATTCTTTTTCTCTTTGTCCAGTATCATTCTAAAATCATTGTGCTCGGTGTTTTCTTAACCATGCTGTCTTTAAAAATTATGTAATTCTGAGGGATTCTGACATGTCATAATTGTTTCACTTTTTTTTATTTTTACCTTTTGATCACCCACTTTCACTCATTTCTGCGATTTGTTTCATTTGAAATGTGCCAAATAGGCAGAAACAAATGGATTATCTCATTTTTTAGAGTAGAGTGTTTTTAAGATGGCTTGTATATTAAGCTGTTCTATGTGAAATCATTAAACCTGAGTTTTATATAAATGGATATAGTTTTGTCTTACATGCTGTGCCTTTGTTTTTCAATTTTTTTGTTCTTAGATTATAACAATTGTCTGAGAAAAAAAAAAAGACACTGTAAGTGAAAAAGAATTTCCATGAACTTAAGTATATTGAGTCTGTCAGATCTGTTTAACAGCCTATTCTATTTTTAGTCATTCTCATCTGTCTATCAGATTAATGAATGATGACTTGGGATTTTGTTGTAGCCTAATTTCACACTCTTTGAAAGTAATTTTCTAATTACCTATACACCTGAGGGATTGGCAAGGCCCCAAAAGCACCAGTTCCAATCATTTTACTCTACAATGCAGCCTATTATTTGTGTTAAAAATCATGTGTTTCTTTACCTCAATATAGTAACCAAAAGGCAAATTTACCCTGAAAATCTGTAGGCTGGTGGTTACTTGAAACAGTCAAAAAGAAAATGCTAGGAAATGAGCTAGAATGTCTTTTTATAGCTAATGCCCTGAAACAACCTGGAGACGGTGGTTTCTTACTGGTTATCTTCAACCAGCAGTGTGAGAAATGCTAAGTTATACTCATCTGTCCCTTAAGGTGACATCTGTCCCTAAGTTATACTCATCTGTCCCTTAAGGTGAAGTGTCCCTGTGCTATTGCACGCACTCCTCTCCGTACATGACATGGGCTTCAAAATTAGGGCTTTTCTAGTTTGAGCATGAATATGATCAAGAAAAATATGGAGGAAATCATTAACAGGTCTTACAAACACTAAGTCTGCCAGCACCTTTCTCAAATGTATACTTGACACTTGTTAGGTAGGGTTTTTTTTTTGTTTGTTTTTTTTGCACACTTGCATCTGTGTGAGTGTTACTTCAGTTGCTTAAGCCCCCAACAGTGCATCCCCACCCTCAAGTGGTTGTTCAGCTCAGTAAAACCACCATCTGTGANCCCATGGCAACCCACTGCAGCAGGGGCTGCAGCCTACGCCGTCGCCGGCGACTCACGGCAGCTCCAGGTTGAGCTGTTGTTCAGCATCTTAGCTGTAGAGGGCAGTGTCATTGGCCCTCATATGTGGGATCCGAACCGGGACCCTCTGGTGTCTCAAGCCAGTTCTTAACCATCACGCCACTTGGCCGGCCCTGAAGTTTTTAAATTTTAACAATCTTATTATTCACTCCAAGTTAGGTGATTTTCTTCTTTCAATAAATACTATATTTCACGTAACATATGTTCATTGAAAATATTCCTATGGTAAGATGTTTATGTAGTGACGCACGTGGTTTATTTTTACTTTAAAACATGTTCTTTCACTTCCTTCATTATTATTTTGAGTTCTTTGTAATTGAATATCATATCCTGTATTTTGAGCAGCTGCTAAGAAAACTCATAGAATGTTATTCTTGAATAGCAACTGTATTTTTTTCTTTTATTGATAATTTTCTAATGGACTTAATTTGCTTTAGTTCTTAGACAGTAATTAAAAGGATGAATTCTGAATCTTCATATTAAAAGATTAATATATTTTTCTAATTGTAATAACTTAAGCTTTTAAAAATCTATTATTCCATCCTCATATAGCACCTGTCTGTTGCTATATTTTGCCTATTTTTACACATTGATTACAAATGCAGAGTATCTAACATAACTGTTTAACCCATAGAGTTTACTCTTTCATCAAGATTATACAATGACAATAACATTATTTTTTTAACCATCTATTATATAGAGGAAGAGATAATGAGAGTGTTAAACACAAAGTGAGTGCTTATTTCAGATACTCTGTTTTCTCTCAAAATGTAATTATTTTAATCTTGTTTTACTCAAGTATTCATATAATAATTTCATTATGGCTTTTAAGTCTTTGAGATCTCTATGTTTATTATCTGGGCTTTGACATTACTAATACAACGTTCATAGAGTATCCTGTTCTCTAAACCCTCACTAGGAAGCACTTTGCAAAAGCAATATATACACCCTAAATGAGAAATCATTGAAGTTTCTTTCTATATTTTATTTTTTATATATATAGTGTACTAAATGCAATATTTTGCCAACTATTTGATGTATATGTAATCAATGTCAAAAATGGGTCTTAAAAAGGCAGACATATCTAAATACAAATATAGTCTTTCATTTTATAGTATAGATTATAATTAGTAGACAAATTAACCATTAATCTTGATGATAACTGTAAGAAATAACTTGGTCAAAATTTAAAGAACCCCAGCCATCAAATACATGATCACATTATCCACATTACTTTTTATTGTTATAAAGTTTAAATTTAGTTTGCCATTGGTTGTTGTCACTTGCTTACCTAAGTCCCATTGGTTATATTGGTTCTTAGGGAAACTTTTAAAGAAACTTGTGCTTTTCAGAAGCAATATATAACTTTTTATCCTTTTCCAGGATATGGAAAAACGAAGTAGACAGTACAAAGACTTTCAGAGTTTTACCTCATCCTACTTTTGTTTACACGGCTAAATTCCATCCAGCTGTAAAAGAGCTGGTTGTCACAGGATGCTATGATTCTGTGATACGCATATGGAAAGTTGATACGAGAGAAGATAGTACCATGTTGGTACGACAGATTGACACACACAGGAGTTTCATCAACTCTCTCTGTTTTGATATTGAAGGTAGGTCAGAGAATATATTCCAAATGAAGCCTAATTGCATGAAGAATATTTTTAAAATTTTTATCTCACTAAGATAATAAATATTTAAGCTTGAGAGAGATTTCATGTATTGATGATTATTTGTGCATATTTAGATTTGTGCATATTTTGCAGATTATACGGTAGACCTGGGCTTAGATTTGGCACTGAAGAAGTTCTGTTTGTAATTTTAGTCATTAAGTTCCTAAACATTTGGATTCAACTAATCTTTGCTGTAATAACCAGTAATGTTCTAAATTTCATAAATATATTTCATTGGGTTGGTGATTATTCCCTTAGTAGATATTTTGTAGGAGGGCTTTTTAATTTAAAGGGCACAAATGAGGAAGATAAAGGGAAAATTAAAAGAATATTGAAAATATATATTTTAAATGTAGCAACAGCATTGTTTTTTAAAAAGTATAGAAACATATAGATGGGAAATTTGCAATTATTTAAAAGTTTATCTTAGTATATGAATAATGTAGATGGTGTTTTAAAGACAATATAGATTATTTTATCAACTGAAAGAATAAAGAAATTTATTGTATCTATTAAATAGTCACCTTCTACATTATTTCAGGCACTAGATATGCAGACTATAGCTATAATTAATTAGTATGGGATCCAGATCAAAATGATAATACTGCTAAGGTACTCAGTTCAACCATAAGGATGTTAATATATTGGAACACACTCAAAGGTCAACCAATGATAGAAAGGTATCTAAAAACTCTGTCATAATAGAAGTAGCTCAGATTATAAAAGAGAGATTAATGTCTTGCAATATTTGGCTAATATACCCATATTGCAAAACAGAAATCAGTCGGTGTTGCTCCAGTGGGTAGAGATGGGGCCAAGGCTGCAGAAGACGTATTTTCTTTTCTCAGAATTAGAAAAAAAAATCCTAATTAAAAATAAAAAACCTAATTATTCAAATCCATTGAATAAGCTGCTTTTTAAAAATATTAAATTCACAGTTGCTGAGTTACCACCTGTTCTTAATGGTGTGTAAGATTCCTGAGTGGGTATGAAATTGAACTTGATGGTTTCTGAAGTCCCATTCAATTGTAAGATGGTTTGACTTTAAAAATTGATGTTAAACTAGAACACGTATTATTTGTTATTTTATTCATTCCTTGATCGTTGGGTTTTTGCTGGATCTCAGACATTATGCCAACAGCATACATCAGAATATAGGTGTTTTACTAGGAATGTAACAGATTGTATAAGTTAATAGAGATGAGCATACAGATACATATTGGATAATTCAGATAATTTGTTTGACTATGGAATTTGAACCATATATGCTTGCACTGAGATGCTCATTTCTTTTTGTATTCAAATCAGTCAAGTCACAAAAGGTAAGAAGTCATCAAAAACTAATTCAAGAGTGAAGAATTCATTTAAAGATAATTGGAATTTGATAGTGGGTTGCTTTTGTTTTTTTGGGCTTTTTAAAC